AAGGGGGGAGCTGGCAAAATGTAAATCCTCACCAAATGCCTTGGGAAGCATGGAGGGTCTTGTGCTGGCAGCCAGGCCCACATGCCAGCACGTGAGGCTCCTGGGAGAGGTCAGAGCTGCAGCACTTCACTCCTCTAGGATGCATCTGAAGCACTTGAGGGGCAGCACTCCCATAGAAGTTATCTTAATGCCACTGGTTTTGCTGGGGTTGTTCAGCCCCACTCACTAGTGGCTCTGGAGAGCAGGAGGATGCTGGAGAGAAAGCAAGCACCAACCAGCACAGCTTTTTCACATGCTGCTCAAAGTCTGTTTTCAGCCATAAATACCGTTTCTGCTGGAGGAGGAAGGTTATTTAGTATTTGGGATGCTAAAGCCCAAACCTGGTGCTTTCTGAGAATCTCTTCTGTATTACACTGCTCTGGCTTGGAGCTCACAGCATCATCCTTCACCAGGGCGTTCCTGCAAAGTGTGATTTGCTCTCGAGGGAACCGGAGAGCAGAGCCCTTCCCGGCAGCAGGAAGAGATGGGAAGCTGGATCTGTCCCCTGCGAGCGGGACGGTAAATGGCCTCTTGCCTTTGTCATTACCTGGCAGAGATGAGTCTGGGAAGCAGCAAGCTGCACTAACCGAGTACGGAGCATCTTCGCCTGGGCTGAGCTTGCCCTCTGATGGCAAGCGCCGGTAGTGAGAAGTAGCTCGCTCCCAAAACCAACCCCTCCCCTGAGGGATTTCCCTACTCCAGTTAATCGCCCTGGTGCTAAACCATCATTTTAGGGTGCTGCTGCCGTGAAGGAATCGTCAGCTCCCGAGCTGAGAATTGTCCCAGTGAGGGCAGCTTCTCCTTGGCAGTGACAGCCCACGCTGTGCCCTGCAGGACTGAGGGGGTAGGGGCTGGCAGAGGGCAAGTGAGGCAGTGCAGAGTTCCTGCAGCACCTCAAAGAGGTCACTGAACTTTTCTTGGAGCACTAATTTAAAGGTAACAGGAAACATGAAAAAAAACCCCACCACAAACTGCTATGAAGACAGGCTGACAGAGTTGGGGTTACCCAAACTGGAGAAGGAAAGGCTCGAGGGAGCCCTTGGAGCCCCTTCCAGCAACTAAAGGGGCTCCAAAAGAGCTGGAGAGGGACTTCAGACACGGGAATGGAGTGACAGGATAAGTGGAAATAGCTTTAGATTGGAAGAGGAGCAATTTAGATTAGGTATAACAAAGAAATTCCTCCCCGTGAGGGTGGTGAAGCAATGACACAGGTTGCCCAGAGAAGCTGTGGCTGCCCCATCCCTGGAAGTGTTCAAGGCCAGGTTGGACAGGGCTTGGAGCAACCTGGTCTAGTGAAAGGTGTCCCTGCCCATGGCAGGGAGGTTCAAATGAGATGACAAAGTTCCCTCCAACCCAAACAATTCTAGGATTCTATGAACTTCTGCCAGCCCTCTACAGCTTACCCAAAACAAGCAGCTGACTTTTTTGGGGGTCCTGGCAGCACTAACCCCTGTCACCTGCCCTCTATCCACTTAGAAAAACCCCAGCAGGCAGGGGAAGCAGCCAAGGATCAGTGGGCTGCTCCATACAGGACAACAAGCCACAAGCCAAGGGTGGCCTCAGCACTGCAGGACACTCACCAAGAAGGGTCCAGCCTGAGCACAGGAGGCAGGGCTGGCTGCTGGCAGCAGGGTCCATCAACACACCCAGGCACAGAAGAGGAGTCAGGTCCAAGGTCCATCTAGGAACAAGATGAGGCAGGACTGGAGAACAGACTGCACAAGCATGAGGTCCCACCCACAGATACAGAGAGGCATCATTGCCCTACATCCCAAAAAAACAGAGGCATTCAAGGATGACCTTAAATACAGTGCCTGGGCCAATTGCCAGAGGGTGAGTGGGTGCAGGTCCCAGGTGAAGCTGCTCGAGGCAATCAGTGCTTTTTGGTGCCCCCAAATTCCTGACACCTGATGCTGCCTCTCCTCTATTTCTCCGATAACAGTCAGACCCCAGGACTCATCCTGGTTTTCCAAACCCCATTGGTCTGCACGCAGAGAATCAATCACATTAAATGAAAGTGCACTGCAAAATGCTCAGGTTGGTCAACCCTCAGGTGCTCATTCAACAGGCTTGAAAATACCAAGAAAGAGATTTCTCGAGACGTGTTTCACTTCTTGATTTTTTGAAATCTTACAGCTCACTTTTTCCGGTCTGCCCCTGTAACCATGTAGAACAGGCAAATGCTTCCCTAAAAATGCTGCAGAGCAACACGGCTCAGAGAAACCCTGGATCTAGGCAAGGTGGGGCTACAAGAAAACATCAGCTTTTGCAAGACACTCAGTAAATCCTAACAGGTTCCAAGACTGAAGACAGATGTGAGAACCTCATGAAGTTCAACAAGGTCAAATGCAAGGACTTGCACCGGAGTCAGGGCAATCTCAAGTAGAAATACAGGCTGGGCAGAGAATGAATTGAGAGCAGTCCTGAGGAGAAGGATTTTGTGGATGAGGAGTCCAACAGGATTCTGCACTGGCAGCCCAGAAACCAACCGTGCCTGGGCTGCATCCCCTGCAGCACTGGGAGCAGGTGAGGAAGGGGATCTGCTCTCTGATCTGCTCTCGTGAGACATCATTTGCTGCATCCAACTCTGGAGAGCCCAACGTCAGAAGGATGTGGAGCTGCTGGAATGAGTCCAGAGGAGGCCCCAGAGATGCTCAGAGGGCTGCAGCACCTCTGCTATGGAGAGAGGCTGGAAAAGCTGTGGTTGTTGAGGGTGGAGAAGGCTCCAGGGAGACCTTAGAGCCCCTCCCAGTGCTTGAAGGGGCTCCAAGAGAGCTGGAGAGGGACTTTGGACAAGGGAATGGAGTGACATGACAAGGGGAAATGTCTTCCCACTGTCAAAAGGCAGGGCTAGAGTGGATATTGGGAAGAAATTCTTCCCTGTGAGGGTGGTGAGGCCCTGGCACAGGTTGCCCAGAGAAGCTGTGGCTGCCCCATCCCTGGAAGTGTCCAAGGCCAGGCTGGACAGGGCTTGGAGCAACTTGGTCTAGCAGAAGGTGTCCCTGCCAATGGCAGGGGGTTGGAACAAGGTGGTCTTTAAGGTCCTTTCCAACCCAAACCATTCTATGACTTTTGCTGTCTATAACATAAAGGAGGGAGTTCTCAGGATATACCAGCACATGCTAATGGCTAAAAAAAACAATTGCAATCCACTAAATAGACCTGTTTGAAACCGTAAGGGCACATAAACTACATCAATGCCATCATATTTTGTGGGAGAGAAATCACCCTAGACGTAGATACCAAATTCATCTTTATTAAAACGGTTAGTACATTTAGACAAGGAGTTTAATTTGATCATGGTTGCATTTAGACATGGTGTATTAGCTGAGGGTGGGAGGGACAGCAGGGGCTGGGTTTGGCCAGATTTGGGGGTGTCCATGGGAGCAGGTAAGGATCAGCTGAGCCTCACTGCTGCACTGTGTGAGAACCAGAGAGCTCAGCAGAGCTTCACTGTCCCAGGATAGACCTGGGCTTGCACAAACCAAGCCTGTGTGTGAGAGAAGCCACCTCTGGCCCTGCGTACACCAAGCAGAGGGTTTAGTTAACATTTGCCCAGACAGCTGATGCCTTAGGATTTTTAAAGATTTTTAGCAAATATGGATTTTTAATATGGCTGTAAAGTTTCTCGCACTTCAGAATAGCAGTTGACAGTCACCAAACCTGTTCTCACACTTCATATTGAATTGTCTAAATTCTTTAGACTTGTTTAGTGGTCTTCTCAAGGAAAGGACTCCAGCAAACACATCTTATTTAGGACATATGCACCTGGACCGGGACAACGAGATATCATTGTAGGCAAAGCAACCTTGAAGGCCTTCATTAAAAGGACTGCTCTCTATCTTATCTATACTAATATTGCTTGGAGAATTTTCTTCTTCCATTTCAGGCATCAAAGCCCATTTTTAATATGAGGCCAAAGGCTCTCAGAGGAAAAGGACGAGCCACAAGGGAACCTTCACTCTGTCCCTGGGCACGTGCATTTAGTGTGCTGTTTAATAACAAGATAGTATCTTTTTTTTCCCCCCCCCATAAATGGAATTTCATAGTTCTGAGCAGTGAATCAGGTATTTCCACTGCTGTAGGTCAGAAATTAAGTAATGCTCCTCCGTAGCTTTGCCTCAGGACACACATATTGAAACAGCAGCTGCAGGACATTTCAGGTCTCTGTAGGGCCTGGAAACTTTGGAGACAGTATTTCAGTATTACAGAAGAATCACCAAATTATTTTAACCTTATTTTAGCTTAATCAAGTCAAATTCCTCTTCAGAAGACCTGAATGATGTAGCTGCTTGCAGTGTAAAGATGACTCTTCTCCCAGATACCTTTTCCTTTTGGTTGTTGTTTTTTTTTTTTGTAAAAGATCATGGCTTTTTAAACACAGCAGTAAATGTTAATATTTCAGTTTGCTGATTCTTCATTTCTCAAAGTGGATAAGCCATTTTTGCTTAAAATCTCTATGCCAGCTAGGAGTTAGCCCGAGGCCAAGGCATAAAATTCCATCTGCAAGTGGCAAAGGTGCTATAAAGCATTGAAAAAAAATCCTTTCTTTATAATAACTCTGTATAATCTTAACTATAATAGTTGTCACTAAGCCTCTTCCCTCTTAGCACTACTTGCTTCTGCACTATTAAACTAGAAAAGAAATTTAAAAAAAAAAAAATCAACCAACCCAGTTCTCCAACCAACTCTCTCCCAGTAGAGTTTCTGCTCTACTCATATCCCAAGCAGCCCAAGTTAACCTAAATTGTACATTTTAATGACCAAATATTTTTTCAAGTCAAGTTTTAGGTGATGACCAGATATGCACCTGAGTTTCTACATGAGCAATTAGTTCCAACCCCTTTCTCAAAACATCCTCCCTCCCCTCCAGATTCTCATGTCTCTCTGTCTGACTGCAGGGATTGAAATTCAGAGAGATGTGTCCAGGTTTCTCCCAGTATCCCGGGGAGGGATGGTGCCTGATGGGTAGGAACTGGGGCTCCTGGGTAGCTTTGCTGCAGGTTTGCTTCAGGAGAAGTTGCTGACAGCCTAATTTTCAGATTTATGGAGCATTAAGAATTCCCATTGACTCTGTAACCAGGTGATGGATCTGTCTACGCTTCATTTTTCTCAGCTATAAAATGGGAGAAATGGCATTTCTGTCACTTGCTAGCTGGGAGGTTAATGCAATGAGTATTAATAAAGTTCTCTAGTGACCTCTGGAACAGCAATTCCCAAGCCAGGGTGGCAATTCCTTGCAGGGGTTGCTGTGCTCCTGAATGGACTGACAGACCCAGTGGAAATTAGGTGGTGGTGGTGGCTCAGAAATGGAAGCAGAAGTAATTTTCCTAATGAGTCATCAGCAGTCAGGAATGGAGCCCAGGGCCCGGGAGGTGACTGTCACTTCCCCCAAACATATGGTCCTTGAGTTGCTCTGTGCAGGAGAAGTCTCAGTCTCCCTGCATGGTGACCAATGCAGAGCATCCTAAATGATTTCCAAGTCTGTGCTGCCACTGGGCATCCTGGCTACAGCTGCTGTAGGTAAATGGAGCTGCAACCATAAAATGTCACAAACTCGGGGCTTATATTAAGTAGGATTTATGTACCCATAAGAGCAGAATCTTATATTGATATTAAGGTTCATTTATCTATAGACAGTACTTGTCTGCTCCGTCCTTTAATGCTACAGGTAGTGTGTCCTCCCTCCTTGCAGAGGATCAGAACTGGTACTTTGCTGCCTGGGACACGGTCAGGGACTGGCTTTGGAGGCTGGAAAATACAGAAAAACTAGAGCAGATTCCTACAGTCAGTCTTACAAAATATAAGTCTGTCAGAAATACCCGTGTCTTTGTGTAAAATAATCACTAAGGGCTGTTGCTGGAGACAGCTTATCCCAGAGGAACTGATTTGTTTGCAGCCTAAGTTTCAGGCCACTCAGGAATGGGTGATGTTTGCTGGCTGGGCAGGAGGTGCTTTCCTTGCTGTGCTGCACACACCTTTGAAGGCAGACAGACAGACATATCTCCTTTAAGAGGACATACGAGGGCAACACCCAGATTAAATGAGGAAACACAAGCAATCCTCTGGGAGCAGGAACTCAGGAAGGGTGTGCTACATGAGGGTGCAGGTGTCCCCACACCAGGACTCTCTCCTGAACCTATCAGAAGTTGTGCTTCAGTGCAGAATTCCAGCCTGGAGGCAGTGCAAGGGCACACTGCTG